CAATCAAGACATCAAATGACGTATTGCAGTGGGCAAATTCGCTGCAGAAGCCCTCTTTAAAGTGTTCAAGATCAAAGATGTCAGTTTTAGAACAAAAGTACACCTGACCCAAGTTATGGTATTTTCAATAACCTCATATGCATGTGAAAGTTGGACAGTGAATAAGGAAGATCATAGAAGAATTGATGCATTTGAGTTATGGTGTTGAAGGAGAATATTGAAAGTATCATGAACAGTCAAAAGAACAAATAGATCTGTGCTGGAAGAAGTACAGCTAGAGTTCTCCTTGGAAGCCAGGATGGCCAGACGTCATCTTTCAAACTTCGGATACATTGTCAGGAGGGAGCAGTCACTAGAGAAGGATATCATGTTTGGTAAAGTGGAGGGTCAGAGAAAAAGAGGAAGACTCCCAATAACATGGATTGGCATAGTGGCAGCAGCAATGGGCCCAAATGCAGCAACTATTTTGAGGTTGACCAAGGACTGGGTGGTGTTTTGTTCTTCTATGCATAGGGTCACTATGAGTCAGTGCTGACTTGATGGCACCTAACAACAACAACTCCAGATTTTGGGAGGCAATATTTGTTTGGAATGTATATTTGCATCTTTGCTCTTTCAGCCTATTTGCTAGTAAGCTTTAGCGAATGAAGAACGATGCCAAACTGCTTTCTGCAAGATGATTCCAAACCTTCCAATCTCATTCCCCAGGCTTGTCCCTTGGTTTAGCCCTTGCCTTAGGCAGGTGTAGCCAGTATGTGATTTTGAATGCTTTTGACAATCACTACTGAAGAGGTCTCTGCAGACCTGTTGTTGTTAAGTATCATCAAGTTGGTTTCAATTCATAGCAACCCTGTATATAGTTTCACACCAGGCCTGTGAGCATCCCAAAGAAGGGTGAGACAAAGTCAAGCCCCTGAACTAATCCCTGAGGGAGCCACCAGACAAAGCTCACAACCACAATTTTTTGAAAAAAAGATTCCTGGTGTTACCCTTCACATTAGGAAGCTATCCTCAGGGCCACCTGTAAGCCAGGGAATGTAGAATGATGATGTTTGTGTTGTTGTTGTTAAGTGCCATGAAGTCAGTTCTGACTCATGGTGACCTTATGTAAGGTTTCCGAGGAGCAGCTGCAAACCTTGAAGTAAAAATGCTATAAATTTTTCCTAAGGAAATTTAGCAGCTTCTTTCTTCATAAAGAACTTCTCTGATCATTGTTAACTTTTTTTTTAAAAAAAATTAGATCCCAGAATTCTAAAGACATTGATTCTGACATACAATGAGACTTCAAAAAATTCGTGGAAAAAATGGAATTAAAAGATAATGGAGTTTTTCCATGGATGTTTTGAAGCTCCCTATCTCTGTAGGTCAGAGAAAAAGAGGAAGACCCCCAGTGAGATGGACTGGCAAACTGGCAGCATCAGTGGACACAAGCGTGGCAACAATTGTGGAGTTGGCCCAGGACCAGGTAGTGTTTCAATCTGTTGTGCGTAGGGTTGT